AAGCTTAGAATTAAAGTACGCTAAGACTAGCGTAATAGTAAAAACGTACTTAAGCTTTTTAAAAGCCTTATATATAGAGAACCTACGTATAATAGAAAAGTTAGCCTAGATATCTCTATTTAATTCTTAGGTAAGATTAGTTAATAGATATAAAATATATAAATAGCTAATAATAAAGCGTCTATAAAAGTTAGTAAACCTAAGAAATACTTATAACTTCTTTAGTATTATAGAGAGCTTCTAGTTAAGTACTATCTAGACCTTAGTAGTGTCTATCTTAATATCTTCTATTATAAGAATTAAACCTAGATACTTAACTTCTTTAATAGTAAACTTACTTTTATTAATATTAAGGTAAAGCCTAGCGTTACTAAGCTTATAAATTACTTTATAAACGTAATTCTTATAATTTTCTAGTATTCTACTATATACTAGAACGTTGTCTAGGTAAGTAGTGTAGAAGTTATCTAGGTAATTATAGAGTACTTTATTAATATAAAACTAAAATATACTAGAAGTATTATATAGGCTAAAGAGTATAATAAAATACTTAAATAGCTTATATCTAGTAAGAAAAGCTATCTTATATTTATTACTTTTTTTAATATATATCTTATTAAAGGTAGTAATAATATTAATAATAGTATAGTACTTAATATTAGATAGTTATATAAGAGTTTTCTTTATTATTAGTAGTGTATTTCTATTCTTAATAGTAACTACGTTAAGAGCGTAGTAATTAATATAAATATAAAGACTACTTTCTAGCTTCTTAATAATAAGTACTAGTAAGGTATATTTAGACTTACTTTTATAAATCTTACTTCTAAAGTTTATATTCTAAATATAGGCCTTTATAGTAAAGCTCTTATTACGTCTAAGTCTATATATTCTAGCTAAGAAATACTAAGAACTAGAGATAATATTAATACTATAGTTAATAGGTCTCTATTATTATAAAAACTCTATTATAGTAGAGTTAGAGTTAAAGTAATTAGCTATATTATAAAGCTACTTAGAAAGCTTCTATAAGATGTTCTCTCTACACTTAGGTAGTGCGTTTAGCTTATTATAGAACTTTATAATATTCTTTAGTAATAGAGTATTAAACTTAATAGAGAATAGTAATATAAAGACGTGTCTAGCGTAGTTATAGTTTTTATTCTCTTTATCTATTTAACTTAGCTACTTAAAGTTCTATAAGTATATCTAAATAACTTTATAGTCTAGTAAGACTACTATTCTAGTAGTAGTATTACTAAAGATATAAGTAATATCTATAAGCGTATAGGTAGAGTTAGGCTTCTTATTAGAGGCTTTCTTCTTCTTATACTTAGCGCTATATACTAGAATAGATTTACTATAAGTAAGATAGTTAGTAAAGTAATACTTACTATTAAAGCGTATTATATAGTTACGCTAGTTAATATAAGAGTTATATTCTTCTAATTATAGAAGGCTAAAGATAAGGTTATAGCTAGTTATATTAATATAGTAGAAGAGCTTCTTTCTACTATAATTACTATAGGTAATATTAACTAAGACACTATAAGTAATAGTCTAACTAATAACGCTGCTATTATCTAGGCGTAGCTATAAGAGCTACTTAAGTAGAATAGTTTTAAGTTTATATTATTGCGTAAATAATAATAATATATAGTTACTAGTTACTCTAGAATTAGTTAAACCTTTTATATTAATAGTAACGCTAGTAGATAACGTAGCTCTACATTTAAATACAAACTACTAGCTCTAGACTAGTTACTTACTCTTAACTACTATATTTATACTAAGAGTTACTTCTCTACTATTATCTCTACTATTAGTATATATCTAGTTCTCTAAATATTATATATAGACTTATAGAATCTTAGTCTTTTACTCTAGTAAGTATAGTGTTAGTAGAGATAGTAGAGTTAAAGAAAGTAGTCTAGTAAGAATATTAAAGAGCGTATTAGAGTAAGTAGGTACTAGTCTAGAGGTATATAGAGTAACTAAAGAACTTTAGATTAGTATATTATTCTTTCTCTTTATCTATCTCTAGTAGTAATAATTACTAGAGATATTTAGTTTTTTAAGTTAGTAGTATTCTTAATAGAGGTCTATAAAGCTATATTAGTAAGAGTAGCTTATAGAGCTAGAACCTTAGAAGTAGTACCTATAGCTCTAGTCTTATAGGTAAATAGAGTATTATTATTACTTATATAATAGTTCTTACTATTAGTATTATAGATACTACTATACTTAAAGTACTTATCTTACTTAGATAGAACTACTAGTTAGGCCTTAGTTTATCTATAGTTAGCGTAAGCGCTTATAAAGTAACTACTACTATTAGCTATAGTAGTACTAGTAGAGCTACTACTACCTTAGCTACTATAAGTAGTATTAGAGCTAGAGGTATTACCTTTAGTTAAGTAGAGAAACTATACTTAAGTGTAATAGTTATAGATAAACTAGTTCTATATATTACTAATATAATACTATATAAAAGTATTATATCTATACTTTATAAGATAGATAGTGTACTAGATAAGCTTTTAGTTAGCTATATTAATAGGCGTAATAACTAAAGTAAAGCGTCTAACCTAAGCGTTAAAAGCTTTACTATTCTTCTACTTAAGAGTACTATTATATAGCGCTATAGTAGTATTACTAAAAAAGTCTATAGTATTAAATATATAGTTAAGATTCTTAAAGATTTCTTAAATATTAATAAACTAGATATAATAGTTTATAAAGGCTTAGTATTTAATCTATTACATAGCTAGGCTATAAAGGTAATTAATAATATAGTCTATCTAGTTTTTAATAGTAGTATAAATATTAGTCTTATTAAGAAAGTTCTATATAGAGTAATACTAATACTTATACTTAGAGGCGTTACTACTAGAGTTACTATAGAAAATTTTAATATCTCTAAGCTTTGCGCCTATAGTAGTAAGATTCTTAGAAACTAACTAAGTAGGTTAGAGAGGCTATAGAAGTAAGGCTAGAGAGTTACTACTATATTCTATAAAAGAATTAGGTTATATAGATAGAGCTAGCAGTAAACTAGTAGGTGCAGAATAATATTAGTTACCTAGCAGCTAACTAGTACTATTAAGATAAGTATAACTACTAGTAGCGCTACTATCTAAGTTAATACTACTATTAGTAGAAATTCTAGCGCGCTACTATAACTAGTTCTTCTTATTTATAAGCTTAGAGATATAAGTCTAAAAGTAAATATTAGAGTTACGTAACGCTTTTATTTTATTATTAATAATCTTAACGTAAATAGTATAGTTATTCTTTATCTTAGTTATATAGACGTACTTCTTAGTAAGTACTTTAAGTTTAATATTAGTAGTAGCTTTAACTTAGGCCTTTACGCGCTTAATATATATAGTAACTTTTTTTTTCTAGAGGTAAGTGTTATTATAAAGTTATTTAAGTTTTTTATTATAAGTAATATAGTTATTTATAACATTAATAAAGTAGCTAAAGATAGTGTCTAGATATTTATTAATAGCTTTCTTAAGCTAGTTAAAAGTATAGATATTATAAAAATACTTCTTTTTACTATTCTTATAGACGTTATAAAAGTAAATATATATAGCGTTAGTATTATTATTCTAGATAATAGAAAGAATAGTCTAGCTCTTAGACTTAAGTGTAGCTTAAAGAAACTACTAGTATAAGTTATAATAGTGTTAAGTAGCGTAGTTATTAGTATTATTACTACTACTACTACTTTTACTATTACTATTTTTAAAGTATACTCTATAAGTACGCTAATACTCTTAGAGAGTAGCAGCGCGCTAGTAGTAAAAGCTAGTCTTCTTACTATTATTAAAGTTATTATTATTCTTAAAGTTACTAAGACTATTATTAAAGCTCTAGTTAGTGTCTAGCTAAGTCTAGGTATTAGTAGAATTAATAGGCTTACTACTACTACTACTACTATTAGTAGAGTTCTTAGTATTCTAAACTATATCTTAGTAGCGTAGAGATATAGAATATAGAGCTATAGTAACTAGTTAGTATTACGCGTTTATTAGATAAGCTATAGCAATTTATTAGTGTTACGCGCTAAATATATTAGTTAATATTATTTATAACTATAATATAATTTATATATAAGATATTAGGCTTATCTTAAAAAAAAGCTTATATAATATAAGAAATGTAATTAAGTAGGTATATAATAGAATATAAGCTATTAAGTAAAATATAGAAGTATAGAAACTTTTATATTCTAGAGCTAGCGCTAGTCTAACTTAATTAGGCTAGACTAGTTATGTAATAACGTAATTAGGTAAGTATAGATAGATCTATAATACTACGTCTATTCTAGCCTATTCTAATCTTAATATTTAAGTATATAGACTATTCTTTTTCTTTTATAAAGTAGAACTATAGTTTAGTTAATAGTACTTTAAGTATATATTTTTATAAACTATAAAGCTTTTCTAGCTATATTATAATTATATAAGTAGTAGCTAGTATAAAAGTAATATACTAGACTAATCTCTTTTTTATTATATTACTTTAATTATAACTTTTACTAATTACACTATTTTATTAATTAATAATAATATTACTAATAGCGCTATAATAGACTAGCTATTAACTTTAGAAGAGCTAAAAAAGATTAAGTAGCTAATACTTACTTATAATTAACTTAAACTTAGCTTAACTTAAAAAAATAAAGTTATACTTATATATATTTATACTAAGATATAAAGTAGCTCTTAGAAAGGTATATACTAACTTAGAAGCTACTTACTAAGCTAATAGTATAGCTCTCTATAACTTATATTACTTTACTATTCTTTAAGTATACTTAAAAAGACTTAGAATAGTTAAAGATAAACTTAATAAGAGTCTAAGTAACTATAAAAAGTAATATACTAACTTTAGTAGTATATTAGCTATATACTAAAGACTTTATAATTTAGTAAAAGAGAAAAATAGTAGTAAGAACGTAACTGTAGGTGCTTTTGCATAACTAGGTTCTAGCTCTTAGCCGAAACAGGGTGGAGGAGACTAGAAAGTTCTGGTTCGCGGCGGAGGACGGAGAACTCGACTTGGTTGATGGCGAGGGGAACGCCGTATTTGGCTAGTTCGTCTTGCATCTTTATCATGTCTGCGAGACTGTAGTTTGCCACTCCAACGGTCTTGGTCATGCCCTTTTCCACGCACTCGGCCATGCCTTTGGCGATCATGGGGATGGTTTGAAGGTGAATGGGGCCATGCACGAGGTATATGTCGATGTAATCGAGGCCGAAGTTCTTGAGTGAGGTTTCGAGCTTCTTGAGGGGGGCCATGGTGGGGTGGAGGACGTCTTTTGCTTGGGGTACGACAAAGTACTTGTCTTGCATGACGAAACTGTCTCTTGGCATGTCCTTGACTAGTCTTCCGCAGATTGTCTCGCTCATGCCTGTGCCGTAGACTTGGGCGGTGTCGATGAAGTTGACCCCTTTGCTAACGCAGTGCTTCCATGCTGCGGCGACATGGGGCTCTTCCTCGGGCTTCCAGTGCCAGGTAGAAGTGTCGCCCCAAGGCCAGGCACCGATGCACAGTTGCGGAGCGTGGACATCTCCGTTCTTGCCCTTGTATGTGACCTTTTTGTCGGCGGTTGGGATCCAGTCTACTGGCATGACAGCTGCGAGACCATCAAAGGAAGGGTCGACTGGGTTAGGCTTGGTGTGCTTGCCGCTGTGGATACCAGTGACGGCTGACATCCCAGAGGATAGACCAGCTTGAAGGACGTGCTGCATCTTTGCGATTCGATAGTACTGGGATTCTCGTACGACAAAAGAATCCTACTTGGACCTGAAATCGAGACAGCACGTCCTGATATCTATTGTTATACTCGCGCAGCATGTAGATCGACGACACGGCAAGTCGTCGGCATCATGGCGAGCACCTTGTATGATGCGGCGATGATTCTTACATTCATTTCCGGCCTATACGCAGCGGTTGTTCCTGCATGGGTACCACAAGTTCGGGAATAGATCCATAAGACCCTCATGTATAGGAGGCAAAACGGCGTGATGTTTGAAGTGGATGCCGGGATGATGCGCAGGTGATGTCATGCCTCGACCACGTTCTGTTATGTGGGTACTCACGACAGAGACCTGCCAAACCAGTGTCAGAAGTGCAAGGAACGTCTTGATATTTTCTGGAGGCATATACTAGGACCTAAATGTAGGGTCAGCGGTTGTCGTTGGTAGTCGCGGTCGTTCCTCGGTGGTGGCCGTGACCTATTTCCCGAAAAGGCAGTCGCGTTCACCTGTCACGACAGTTCCTGAAAGACAACAACGCGCATGACTCTCGATGTTTTTCGTTTTGCGACGCGTCGAGTTAGCATCTCTAGGCGAACTGGACACTGTGACGAGGCTGTAAAAGGAACAAAGCGAGATCTTGAGGTGGACTACTTCGTAGCCTGTGAAGGTAAAAGCTTAATTCATATATCCAGAAGAACGTGAAGTCTTTACAAGATGCTGTTGTCCGCACATGTAAATGCGCCGTTAACATCTGTTGTGGCAAACGTGTTCATCAAAGCGCGGATACTGGCGTACATGCCAGGTACCATCATGAAGAGCGTGACCGACATGATGAACACGTTGAGAGCGGCCGTCGCAAGCTTCTTTGTACTTGATCGCCACTTGCCGTTCCAGTTGAGATGGAACCAGAAAAGCACAGTAACACCCCAGGTGAACCATGATAGCAGAAGCGCGGCGGAAATGTTGAGAAGGGAGCTGAACACCGGAATGGCGTTGGCGAGGATCCACACGACGACCCAGAACAGGGTAACCGAGAAGATCCAGACAGCCCATTCAGTCTTGTTACCGACGTCACCCATTGCGATGGAAGCGCGGCGGCCACGCGACGACCCGGACGCGCTAGATGAGACTTCAGCGTTGAAGCTTCCATCTTTCTTGGCCTGGCGAGTGCCGATCTCGCGCAGGAAGAAGACGTGCAGGTAGCGCGCGGCGGTCATGCCGAACACCAAACCAGTGCCAAGGAGTCCAACAAAGATGATTCCGTAAGCGACCTTTGCCATCAAGGGTTGGAGAGATCCGAGCGCTGGCGAAGCGACGGATTCACCGGAAAGGGCGTAGACGACCGCAGCGACGATGCAGTAGATAGTGGTAGTGGCGCACTTCTCAATGGTGACAGCGCGTGGGTAGTCGCGAGAGGGGTCCTCCATCTCAGCAAGGACAGTCGGGAACGCTTGATTGCCGCTGAAAGCAAAGGCGATGTTCAGGAACGCCGCGACAGCTTCAGTGAAGGTGGGACTTCCGATAGCTTTCAGGTTGAGAGGTGCTCCCGCATTGCGGGGACCCTGAACACCAAGCACAATCATGACGAACATGACGGCCGAGAAGATGGAGATGGTGCAGGGCCACGATGCCCATGACACGAAACGCATACTACGCGGTACGCACATGGCCCACATGGCAATGGCCGCAACGACCGAGAAGGCGACCGTGCAGGTCGCGTGTTCGCTGACGGTGTTGAGACCGATCGAAATAGTGACCACTGCCGATGCGCTGATGAGAGCCATGTTGATGAGGAAGCCAATGGCAAAGACAGCTTCGAGCCAGGGACCGCCGAGGACGCGTCCGTAGTCGACAATGTTGAGCATGTAAGGATACTTGCGCCAGTACTGAACGAGATTGTAGGCAGTGTACAAGCTAAGCATCCCCATACCGACAATGGCAATGATACCCGGGAAGAACCCAAGGGTGTTCAGAGCGGCTGGCAATGACAAGATACCGATGCCGATCTCATTGGTCATGAAGATGATGACAGTTTGTGTTGTGTTGAGTTTCTTCGTTCCTGCACTGCTTGTGGGGCGTTTGCTTGCATTTTGGATATCGGATACGTCGCCTAGGTTCGTGTCGTGCTCGGAGGAGGTTTCGAGCTTTTCGGGGTCTCCGTGCTTCTTTTGTCGCAAAGGGTCTTCCGGATCGTGAGTAGGGTCTGCTGCAAGGGCTACTGTAGGTCGCTGGGCAGATACGGGCAGATCATTGAGAGCTTTGGGCTTGTTGTCGAGGTCGTGTGTATGTTGCATGGGAAGGTTGCCGTGGGCAGAAGGGACGTCTTTGTGATCCATGGTTAGAGGGAGACCAAGCACTTACGCCTGCATGTACCGAGTGAGTGTGGTCGAGACGGGGGAATCGAAGTGACGAGGAAGATGCGACCAAGAAACGAACTTGTCAATGGAGACGTTTGAGGAGGGCCAAGTTGAGAGGATAAATAGATGCGGGAAAGAACGATAGACTGGTCACAGCGCAGCGTGGAGGAAACCAAGGACATGGAGAATTACGTATTAACGCACATCGCACGCGGACCAAGACAGTAGCTGGTAGTAGCGTATCGTAGAATGTGTCCGCACTTTAACGGGGACTGTGCACCCAATGATGGCTGGTCTTGGAGGCAGGGTCTCGCGGAGGCGTGGAGACGGAATGGTACTTTTATCCACTTCAGGTATGTGGGCCTCCCTAGATGCCGTATAGATGAAGCTCTTAGTAAAGGAACCGAGCTGGTGTTTCGCGAAACGCGCAAGTGCGGCATGCTGGGTCCTTCCGGACGATGCGCAGCCTTCCCACGCTGCCGTTCCTATCAAACGATGCAACATGATGCGGAGAAGGGTCTTGGTGACGTCTGATGGTCATCCACGTCGGGAGCGACCGCGCTAGCGAGAGCCGCATCTGACAACGCGAGAACCGCGCCGAAGCAGGCCGGTGTCACACCCGACAGCTTGGCCGCTGTCGTCATCGGTCTGGGCATGTTGCGATGAAGTCCATCAAGCCCAAGTCCTCACATAGCCATGTGTAGGTGTGAGCGTGTCCCAGATTACAGGAACCCTCCGAGTATTCAGACGATGGACAGACGTTGATCCAGTGTATAGGCCATTTCCGGGACGAAATGGGAAGGAACCCGAAGGATCCATCCGCGACAAGGACATGCCGCGTCGCATTGGCAGTGAATGCGAAAATTTCGCGCGGTAAAACATCGGCTGCAGTCCATAATCTCATCATGTTACATCCAGTGAAAGTGAGGCACTTGGAAACCGGAGTGCACGGACGGTTGGCATGGCGGAGGAGTTGGGAGAGCCAAGGCCAGTCTTATGCGATAAACTTCGACGGCAAATGTCCGCTTCGAGTGTTGATAGGTTCGCAGACATGTCCAGAGGCACTTTCATCCCATACTAGAGGCCGTGGACGAGATGAAGAACCCGGTCGAGAATTGATTTCTCCTTCAATGGTCGCTGTGCGAAGACACAGTGCCGTGTATTTCGGTAGATGGTCGCATAAGGTGTTGAATCGAAATAGCCAACAGTACGGTTTCCATGGGTCGCAGCACATCAATCATTACTCCGGTTCCGCTGCAAGGTACCGATTTGGATGTATCTGTGGAGTCGCATGTCGCAAGGGAAGTCGCATAGGAAGACGCAGTGTTCTGCTGCTGGCATGTCGCTTTGGAAAGATGAATCGTGTCGCTCTTGGAATAGACCTTGTTGGCCAGAAAGGCTGTTAATTCAGTCAGTAAGACGTGGGGAAGACCGAGTATCTCTCCGGAATATCTGGAGCAGGTAGGTCAGACGAGAGTAAGATATTGAAGTCAGTGTGGGATGAAGTCGTGGGTATTGTCGGTTGTTGGTCGCATGGAGTAGGAGTTGACGAGAGGCCCCTATCGAGTGGGCACGCATTTCGGGTTACGCGTCAGCTGAGTCATGCGCCTTCATTTTCCCATCTGTCGCTTCCTCATACGCGATCTTCGATCCACCGATCCTCAGACCTCGGCCACAATCGCGATCTTACACTGTGCCGCTTCTTCTTCTTCTTCTCTCTTATCGCAAAGGATGTCTCGCGTTTCCGCACGCACTGTACCCTCTGCAGGTTCCCAAGGTGCGGCGCAGGAGTGGCTGTGAGGCGGCTGTGAGGCGCACGGGGGCCCTAATAGCCGTTCTTTCCGGGCGGGACGGCGCCAAAAAGCTTGGCCTACGACTATCATCACCATTCTCAAACCTTTCGGGGCCACGCAGGAGCGTCAAGCATGTCGACTCCCTGCTTGGCACGTTGTGGTACGCGCATGCCTTTCCCCAGGAATGACAGGAGGTGAAACGAGATCGATGGCTAGTCCCCACCTCATCTTCGACGTTGCTTCCACGGCTTCTCCATCTTGTCACCTTCCGCCGACTTTCCCTTTGCCGTGTGTTTGAGCGAGAGTCTGCCGTGTTCCCTGCTTGTTCGATAATCCGCCCCCGACATACTTGCCGCTATTGCCGTCGTTGACGAGTCACTCATTTTTGCGTTGCTCCCTCCTCTCATTCTCCACATTCACCATGATACCCCGGACAGCGCTTTCGGCGCTTTTGTACGCCTCCACCGCATTCGCAGTGTGCACCAAGCTCGAAGACTGCCCCCAGTTTGAGGCCCTCAAGACCGACGAATGCCAAACCTACCATCATTTCCTCGCCCGCGGCTCTACCTCGCCATACCCGGGCCACGTCATCGAGACAGTCGGCAAAGTGTGCAATGCGCTCAACACCAAGGAAAACCCCAAGGCCTGCGGATATGAGGATGTGCAGTACTGGGCCATGAACGGCGGAGAGCGATGGTGCATATCGTCGCACGAGGGGGCTATGAATGGCGCCGAGCAGATGAGGAACTACACTGCGAGGTGTCCGGACAGCCACCTCATTGTCATGGGTTTCAGCCAGGGTGGAAGTGTCGCGCTCGACGTCCTCGGTGGTGGTGGCGGT